ACCACATTGTGCAACCACATAACATTTCTTCAGCGAAGGGAGACGGAGACAACGTAAAGAACCTGAGAACTCTGAGATAGCAAATGGCCAAGCTTTCACCCGGTCTCAGTGTGGGGAACCATGCATGAAACTAAAATAAATACGAGCAGGCTATAGCTACCAATTCGAAGTAACTGCCGACAAAAACGCGTTAACCTTCAATATAACGGTACCTACGGCGGTTCAGATTCTATTCATATTTCCTATGCTATAGGATACAACTGAACACATTAACATTTTATTATGCTCGCTTATGGATAATCGCCCCTAAACATATTGTTACGAACCATAGCTGCGTGAACCTCCCCTTTCCCTTGACCACCTCCAAGACATTGCAAATATTTCAAAACATGGTCTTCACATTATTGATACATGTTTTGACCGACCGATAAGTGTAAGCATGCATGGTCTGTTTAATCAGCACATTAAAAAGGTAGTATAACACGGCCTGTGTATGTGCCGATGACAGCAGCTTCGTGTGATCATCTGGGCACGAAAATACTGGGTCCACCTGCAAGTGCTAAGGTCTGCAATGTATACACTCATATACACTGTTCATATAAACACGGCGGAGTTTGAGCTACTTTTGGACACCGTAAAACATTTTTCACTTTGTGTGGAAATTGTTTTATTAATGAACTAAAGCGCTGTAAGATGCATTTGAGGTGAGCTGAGATATCGAACCTTTACCACGTATCCCGACCAAAATGCCACAATATAGTTTCGCATAGCATAATGAAACAACTTTAAAAATTGCGAATTTTGCTTAATTCAGCTTCTAATATGCCTCCAAAAGACAAGGGAGAAAAGCTTAGAGAGCAGAAAAGAAGGGAGGAGGAAGGAGAATGAAAGGGAGAACAAGGAGGCAAAACTGACTTACGCCGTCAGTACGTCAAGTGTGAAGCAAAAGTGACGAAAAAGGGTACAATTCCAAAACGAGAAATTCAGAAATATGAACTTTGCAAAACTGAGAAACTTTTTATATTATTTTAATGATGAGAAATACAGAGAGCTGAAGAAGAATTTTAACCCACACCATTACTGTATTTAAAGAAATATGCACGTGTAAACATGGTGCAATATTTTTTCGTTACGGAGGTTAGGTAACATCTACAGTAAATTAGGTTATATTTCGATCATGCCAAAGGTCACAGGTTCCATATTTGATTCATTTATTAAGATTTTGTATTCAAAATATTTTTCGAAGCCGTTTTCGAAGACAGCAGGGCGTAAACTGAACTCGTAGAACGGATAAAAAAAAGAAGTTAAAATGGCGTTTTGGCGAATAATATAGACATCTAATGGTGATGATTATTTAAGATTAACAATTTTAGACACCATTTTTATAACTAAACAACTATGATAGCACTCTACCTCGGTTTGTATGCCCCTTTTAGTAGCTGGAACCCTTTTAAAGGATCTGCGGTCCTTTCCAATAACAGAAGCACGATGCCCATACAATGAGTTTCATGTGAGTATTTGGAATATTGGATATGTGCTAAAATCTAGACAAAGACTAAGAGTAAAGTGAAGCTGCCGTGGTTTGTTGCATCCTGCCAGTATTATATCATGATGTATTCAACGCGCGCTCTACGCGATCGGTCATGTTTCTGTCACATCTTGCCCTGAGGTCGGTGACGTCAGCGGTGGGCGGGGTCTATTGATGGTTCAATTTGCTGTCGATGAAAAAGGCGGAGGAGACTTATAAAAAATCACTTTTACGAAAGACGTTCTGAAATCCTGTTGCTTGAGGTTGGAAAGGAAGTGAATACAGTATTTCTATAGGTACATGCTGTTATTTCTCTGAAAACAGTTTTGCTGAGATAATTTTTCTCTGTTTATGGTCAGAAGAGTTTTTTGTGCACAACATAATGGCCGTGGAGTCCCGGGAAGAGTTTGCGTTGAACGTTTCGGAAAGGATGGTGACAATTCCAAATGACACAAAGGTAGAGCACTTGTCCTGCGAAAGCCTTTATTGCTCGTTTTTTATCGCTTTCGATGCTACTTTGATAGTTTTTGTAACGGGAGCCAACGGTTTTATTATTTTTGCCTTTGCGCGATATAAAGAACTTCAAAAAAAGACTTTTTTTGCCGTCGCCAGCCTTGCCGTGGTGGGTTTTTTGACGGGAAGTGTTAGCATTCCGTTCAGTATAGCTGCAGCTTACCTCTCTGACAACAAATACTTTTGTCTGTTTAAAATATACTTTAGCCAGATAGTTGTGACGATTTCTTATCTTCACCAGTCGTTTATTGCAGTCGAAAGATACCTGAAAATTTGTCGCCATGTGCAATATGTGACAGTGATTACAGGAAAGAAAATTGTCGCAGCAATTGCTTTGTGCTGGATATACCCGATGTGCCTTTCTCTTCCACCACTTTTGGGTTGGATACGTGGACGCCAACCGTGGAATGCACGTCCCGTTATGTCCAGCAGGATTTCGTCACTAAAGTTCTCAATCCGCATTTTCCCGTTTTAATGATAATCGTTTTGGGGTTTTATGCTGCAATAATTCGGCACGTTAGACAACACAGTATGCCAGTTCATATGAAAGAAACCAATACAAACAAACAGCAATGTCGTGATATCGAACAAAAGAGGGATGACCAGATAAACATAAAATATGGAACAAACAAACCCTCGGAGGATGCACAGCCGTCAACATCGAAGGGATGTGTCGTTTCATACAAACCAAACGCGTGTACAATTAAACTTTCAACAGCCATTGAAGCATCAGAGGAAGTGCCATTATCGGGGATCAAATTAAAGGACAAAGGTAAAGGACGTGGGAAGTGCTCGAAACCAGCTCCTAAAGCCGCTTGGCCTTTGACAAATCTCCAACCGCAACGTTCCCAAGAAACTTGTCAATCAGAACAAGACCGGCACAGGAAACAAAGGTTAAACAAAGATAACATAAAATATAGAACAAACAAACCCTCGGACGATGCAAGGCCGTCAACATCGAAGGGATGTGTTGTTTCATACAAATCAAACGCGTGTACAATTAAACTTTCAACAGCCATTGAAGCATCAGAGGAAGTGCCATTATCGGGGATCAAATTAAAGGACAAAGGTAAAGGACGTGGGAAGTGCTCGAAACCAGCTCCTAAAGCCGCTTGGCCTTTGACAAATCTCCAACCGCAACGTTCCCAAGAAACTTGTCAATCAGAACAAGATCGACACAGGAAACAAAGGTTAAACAAAGTTGACGTAAGACTATCGAAGATGACTGCGATCACCCTAGGAGCATTCCTGGTCACTTACTTACCCAATGTGACCCTTAATCTTTGTAGAAACCTTTTCAACAACAATACTTATACTTTCAACATTCTTTTAAACATAAGTATCAAATTTGCAATGGCTGGTTCGGTAATAAATGCAATTGTATATGGGGTATTGCATTCGCGCTTCAGAGCGGCATTTCTTGCCATTCTTAAATGTAGACGTCATTTAGTTATATAGCATTTTAATGCTAATTAAAATTCATAAATGTATTCCAAACATCCAAGTGAAGCTGAACCGGGTTTTAACAATGTGAATAAAGTATAGTACCATCTTGAAATAATTTTGGTGTAAACTTTCTGAATTGACAAAAATTAATAAAAAGTGAATAGTCGTTGTAGGCCCCCAACCTTGGTCCCAAGTATGTAACCATGGAAGAAACTTACTGACCATCTGTTTTACTCATAATAAAAGGGGATCAAATTAAAGGACAAAGGTAACAAAGGGGGGGGGATGGAAAGAAAACGTTAGCCCGAGATAATTCCTTAAATATGAATTTTGCCACGAAAACCCTCCTTTGTGTACCTTGAATCCATTTCCGATTTAATGTGGTATTCAGAATTATGTTATATGTAAACTGTCTCGCACGCGCGTGTGTTACGGATGGGTGCATGTGTGCATCGACAAACTTGTAAGACACTCTCACTCCTCCCTGTACAACGCATGTGAATTGACTTTGTCACGTACATGAATGTCACATAAAAAATACTAATTAATCAAAACTAACGTAATAAAAACATTGTTATTCTAAAACGCATGTAATGTCGGTGTAACGTGACAGAGAGTCCCCATCTGGCAACAAATGAAAGATTGTGTGAAAAATGAAAATTTCATACAGAAATGCATTGCAACCAAACAGAAAGCAATCACACTGATTTTCCAACACAAGCTGCACTTCAGTCTTATGAATCTTTTCAGTAAGTTTTAGAATCACGAGTAACACAGTTTTCCTTTACTGGTCATTATGGTAGAACTTGAGAAGTGTCCAAAATAGGGTTTTCTTCAACTTCTATGCAAAATAACATAATGCTGAACAGCATAATGACCATCAATTTCTAATGATAAAATAAAATAAAATAAAAGTATCATGGGTATTCAGACAAATGTGATAAGCAAAGGTCTTCAAGCCCACGGAGCATCAAAGTCCTACCTTGAAAATGCCAATATGTGAAAAAAAATTCACAAAAACCTGTATAACTTCCAAATCAACTAACCAGATTTTTTTACCAGCTAAAGCTGTTTTTAAGTCCCATGTTTCTTTCATGTAAGTTTGAGAAGAGTTTGTGACATGGTTTTCCTTAAATGGTCACTATGGCGGCAGTGCCCAAAATAGGAGTTTCTTCAATTTTGATGCAATATTACATAATGCTTAACAGTATAATCAGCACCAAACTTTAATAATGTACAGCAAAAAAATGTGACTAGCAAAGGTCTTTAGGCCCATGAAATTTCTAAGTCACGCCTTGAATGCCAATTTGTACACAAGAGATAACTGTACTAAAATGTATTTCTTTCCGTTTTTCAATTTTTTTACATAAAAAAATGATCAATTTACTGTCATTTTTATATGTTTAACTAAGAAAAGTGTTGAGATGGGAAAAATATCAATGAAACTATTCCAAAAGCCCACTTTACTCCATTCTGAGATTCTGAACATAGTAAATGATTGAATGTGACAAACTGAATGATTTCCATTTATTCCTTTTTTGACACTTTTTACACAATACCGATAAAAGGTTTACCATCGTTTTTATATAATCTTCTAACAATATTGTTAAGATGTAGCAACAGTCTTCAAAAGAACACTTTTACATGCCTAATTAGTTCAGTTTTGAGAATTGAATCTGAAAAAAAAATCACTGATATCCAAAAAAAAAAAATTTATATATATATATAACTTCATCAAAACTAGTCCCATCAAGCTGATTACAAGGTTGATCACGTCAGTGATTTTCAAGACAACACACGTATCAGTTTTTATCGAAATGTGTTATCATTGTTGCATTCGGACAAAATTGTCTTTATCTTTTGCTGATGTTGCGCGAGGTAGCAAATGCAACTCAGGTATTATCTTTCTTATTATTTACTTAACTACTGTTACCCGCGCCGCTGTCTTCATTTCTATTTCTACCTCATGCAATCTCTAGCGGCCTTCTCCCTCGTTTACATTACGAGCAGTTGTATAAATACCATAGGGGCATGTCAATCAACTAAATGTACTCAACCAAACACTCCCCGCTCTTATTCACTGCATGCTGTCACTTTCTAACATTACAATATCTCCCGGGGACGATATGCCTATCCCTAGGCATATTTAAAATTAAAATACACCTTCAAATTATGTTTCGTAAACACTCCAATTTTATCATAAAGTCATGCAAAAATATGACTATGATTAACATACACATAATATAAGAAACACATTCGACATGAAACCAAAAATGTAACTCAAAGGAAGATTAAATAATAAATATTTAGGAAAATACAATTGTTCGTGGATATATTTCATATTGGCATTTACACCTTTCAATGTACCCCAAGAGCAATGACATTTTTCATTTGTTTTCTGATGCGGATATTTAAATCTGTTGCTCTCTTATTATGGCTCTGATAACATTTTTATATGGTTTCTCTCTTTCGTTTGCCATATGGGATGTTCTTGGAATGCACTACGGGAGACAATTGGGTAAGCTACTTCCTGCCGAAGAAACAGCATTCACCATACAACGTTGCGACCAGCGCATCGTTGATGACGAAGTACCTGTTCATCTTCATATAGATCCACACTGTAGCGCTTCTCTTTTGATGGCTATAAGAGAAATAATTGTTTTATATCAACTCCAATCCACGATTGAACTAAAACATACCGAAAAATAAGTCCCAAAATGCAAGAATCTTCCTAAATACATATAATCAGTTTCATGTCATGATCTCTACAAAAGTTAAATACACTGTTCATATACCAATAACCGTATAGTTAAATGTCAATAACTAATAATCATAAGATCGATAAGCTGAATATAGATATTACTCACAATAAGTCACGTATTTAACTTTTAGTACATAACACTTAATATGTCAGTATGAAAACATGCAATAACATAGAACTCAAAATTAACTCGTAAATTTAAAGTTTATATCCACACAAATGAAAAGTTCCATTTGGTATAGTGTCCGTTGCATTCTCCATTTTGAATTATAGCACGAAAGTTCAGTTTCATATAATGTCAAATTAGTCCTTCCAGACTGAATAGCGATTGTCATCTGCCATTCATTGTATATGGATAAATGTCTATTGTTATTCGCGTACGCTGTCCCACGTATAGATAAATGTTCAAAGTTTCCTGTATATCCACGAATGGCCACGTCCAGCGATTACGAATGACGAAACGAATGACGCAGAAATGCATGTCAAAAAAAAAAAAACTTAACTTTACGTATATCATAACAATCATCATCATAATGCAATACAGTTACGCATATCAGGTAAAGTTTAACTTGCCATGGTACTATTCATGCAGAAGATTACAATAATACGTGTATATAACCATGCTAATAATATGATAATATTCCAATAACAATACTTATATTGATAATAAAAAATGATAATTCAATCTGGCGTCCCAGATGCTAGTATTTATCTGGCGTCCCAGATAATAGAATTCACATGACTCCATGCGCATCACATATTCGGTAATATCCATAACCACACTCATATCCGTCACATCTTAATCATTTCATCCTTCAAGATATCAAATAATATTCACAAAAGACCATTCTCATTACATCATTGTACTCATTATATCATTTGTTTCACTCGATCTTTTGATTGCCAATATAACCGTATTATCAACTGACAAGATCATTTTAAGAAGATCGTTGAAATGCCAGTGAATAGGACTTAAATTAAAGCAATTTATCGAGAAAAAATTCTCAAAAAATATTCTTCGTAACACGAAAAAACGTAATTTCATTGAAGGGACTTCCCATTAAGTAGATTAATCATAATCTTAGTTTTTGCTTGTCACCTTCAATTAAAGTGCCTGTGCACTGTCGACGATGTTTGACATTGGAAGGGGGTAGTGGCCGAAATAAAACGGATATTCTTAAGAATGAAATTATGATACATCATCTGAATTGATTTATACTGTAAGTGCAGGAGACCTAAACCGAAACAAAGTGCAATAAAAATTAGTATTGCCTGAAATTAAAGTGAATGTCATCTAAGTGTCGTAACTTGTAAAAGAATTTTAACAACTGGTTATGATGGATATTAAAATTACAAGAGTAGACAAACAACAAAATATTCATTCACTGGTTGGCTAACCCGCTCAAGTCAACAACAAAATATTTTCAAATGCACACATTTCCGTCCTGTCAGGAATCTTCAACAGTGAAATGAAATATCTCAGTTGTTGGCATCTCTTCAAACATTCCGCACCCTGTAAAGTTCATAAGGTCAACAAATGCATAAAATGTAAACAAAAGTAATTTACTCAACGAATAAATGAATAACTTTTACTTTTATTTAAAGTGGCAGATGTTAGAAAATTTCAAGTCACACAAAGGATGTTCACCAAATAAATTTGACATGCTGTTTCATGCATAGGTGTTAAGTTTGACAAGTCTACAACCAATTAACATTATTCCTTGTTCTCAATACTTACCCTTAATTACGTGAACTTTATGCGAATTGCGATCAATCATGCTAGGAGGGAAAAGCATATGACCGTGGAACTCCTATAGTATCATTCTAGAAAAGACTTAGCGTACATGTTTAAAAACAATTGTCAGTAAAATTGAAATTTGAGAGCATCTTTTTACATTTCCATGGCCGTTTATTGACATCTCTAGTAGGATGGACTCTTTATAAATATCTTAATTCTATCCAATTAGAATTTGACTTCGTCACGTTTGCTACTCCCATCTTGCTGTCTTCCTTAAGGCGTATTAACATCAGTTGCGTCTGTCATTCAATTTTAAACAGGCGTGTTCTATTTTATTGACATACCTCTTTTTTCCCTTCACTCTTCTGTTATTCGCTTTAATGTCGCCTCGTTTAGTTTTCAATTGGATCCCTAATATTCCAACTATAAGGGAATCCATTTCCACTAAATAAGATACTGTGCTTCAACGTTTTATCTGACGCGACCTCGATAGGCCTATTCTACTTCAAATAATTCACTTGTGGTCTGGGACAAATTCGCTTGTCCTCCAGTCTCATTTTCTCGTTTTTCTTCATTTTTCTATTTTTTCTAATCAATTAAAATTACTCTAACAAGCGGGCGGGCAGCAAGCAGACATTTTGTACAGAGACAATGCAAAGATGAGTGAAAACGATTCTGCCTCGTGTACATATTAACTATAGACAGAGTACCTATCTGGAATATATCCNGATGGAAAGAAAACGTTAACCCGAGATAATTCCTTAAATATGAATTTTGCCACGAAAACCCTCCTTTGTGTACCTTGAATCCATTTCCGATTTAATGTGGTATTCAGAATTATGTTATATGTAAACTGTCGCGCACGCGCGTGTGTTACGGATGGGTGCATGTGTGCATCGACAAACTTGTAAGACACTCTCACTCCTCCCTGTACAACGCATGTGAATTGACTTTGTCACGTACATGAATGTCACATAAAAAATACTAATTAATCAAAACTAACGTAATAAAAACATTGTTATTCTAAAACGCATGTAATGTCGGTGTAACGTGACAAAAAGTCCCCATCTGGCACCAAATGAAAGATTGTGTGAAAAATGAAAATTTCATACAGAAATGCATTGCAACCAAACAGAAAGCAATCACACTGATTTTCCAACACAAGCTGCACTTCAGTCTTATGAATCTTTTCAGTAAGTTTGAGAATCACGAGTAACATGTTTTTTCTTAAATGGTCATTATGGCAGAACTTGAGAAATGTTCAAAATAGGGTTTTTCTTCAACTTCTATGCAAAATAACATAATGCTGAACAGCATAATGACCATCAATTTCTACTCATAAAATAAAATAAAAGTATCATGGGTATTCAGAAAATGTGATAAGCAAAAGTCTTCAAGCCCACGGAGCATCAAAGTCCTGCCTTGAAAATGCCAATATGTGAAAAAAAATTCACAAAAACATGTATAACTTCCAGAAAAATCAACCAACCAGATTTGTTTACCAGCTAAAGCTGTTTTTAAGTCCCATGTTTCTTTCATGTAAGTTCGAGAAGAGTTTGTGACATGGTTTTCCTTAAATGGTCACTATGGCGGCAGTGCCCAAAATAGGAGTTTCTTCAATTTTGATGCAATATTACATAATGCTTAACAGTATAATCACCACCAATCTTAATAATGTACAGCAAAAAATGTGACTAGCAAAGGTCTTCAGGCCCATGAAATTTCTAAGTCACGCCTTGAATGCCAATTTGTACACAAGAGATAACTGTACTGAAATGTATTTCTTTCCGTTTTCAACTTTTTTTACATATAAAAAAAGGATCTATTTACTGTCATTTTTATATGTTTAACTATGAAAAGTGTTGAGATGGGGAAAATATCAATGAAACTATTCCAAAAGCCCACTTTACTCCATTCAGAGATTCTGAACATAGTGAATGATTGAATCTGACAAACTGAATGATTTCCATTTTTGACACTTTTTACACAATACCCGATAAGGTTTACCATCATTTTTATATAATCATCTAACAATATTGTTAAGATGAAGCAACAGTCTTCAAAAGAACACTTTTACATGCCTAATTAGATCAGTTTTGAGACTGTTTACATGCCTAAGAATTGAATCTGAAAAAAATCACTTACATCCAAAAAAAAAGGTATAACTTCATCAAAACTAGTCCGATCAAGCTGATTACAAGGTTGATCACGTCAGTGATTTTCAAGACAACACACGTATCAGTTTTCATCGAAATGTGTTATCAGTGTTGCATATGTGACAAAATTGTCTTTATCTTTTGCTGATGTTGCGCGAGGTAGCAAATGCAACTCAGGTATTATCTTTCTTATTATTTACTCAACTACTGTTACCCTCGCCGCTCTCTTCATTTCTGTTTCTACCTCATGCAATCTCTAGCGGCCTTCTCCCCCGTTAACATTACGCACAGTTGTATAAATACCATAGGGGCATGTCAATCAACTAAATGTACTCTACCAAACACTCCCCGCTCTTATTCACTGCATGCTGTCACTTACTAACATTACATTATCTCCCGGGGACGATATGCCTATCCCTAGGCATATTTAAAATTAAAATACACCTTCAAATTATGTTTCGTAAAGAAACCAATTTTATCATAAAGTCATGCAAAAATATGACTATGATTAACATACACATAATATAAGAAACACATTCGACATGAAACCAAAAATGTAACTCAAAGGAAGATTAATTAATAAATATTTAGGAAAATACAATTGTTCGTGGATATATTTCATATTGGCATTTACACCTTTCAATGTGCGGCCCAAGAGCAATGACATTTTTCATTTGTTTTCTGATGCGGATATTTAAATCTGTTGCTCTCTTATTATGGCTCTGACACATTTTTATATGGTTTCTCTCTTTCGTTTGCCATATGGGATGTTCTTGGAATGCACTACGTGAGACAATTGGGTTAGCTACTTCCTGCCGAAGAAACAGCATTCACCACACAACGTTGCGACCAGCGCATCGTTGATGACGAAGTACCTGTTCATCTTCATATAGATCCACACTGTAGCGCTTCTCTTTTGATGGCTATAAGAGAAATAATTGTTTTATATCAACTCCAATCCACGATTGAACTAAAACATACCGAAAAATAAGTCCCAAAATGCAAGAATCTTCCTAAATACATATAATAGTTTCATGTCATGATCTCTACAAAAGTTAAATACACTGTTCATATACCAATAACCGTATAGTTAAATGTCAATAACTAATAATCATAAGATCGATAAGCTGAATATAGATGTTACTCACAATAAGTCACGTATTTAACTTTCAGTACATAACACTTAATATGTCAGTATGAAAACATGCAATAACATAGAACTCAAAATTAAATCATAAAATTTAAAGTTTATATCCACACAAATGAAAAGTTCCATTTGGTATAGTGTCCGTTGCATTCTCCATTTTGAATTATAGCACGAAAGTTCAGTTTCATATAATGTCAAATTAGTCCTTCCAGACTGAATAGCGATTGTCATCTGCCATTCATTGTATATGGATAAATATCTATTGTTATTCGCGTACGCTGTCCCACGTACAGATAAATGTTCAAAGTTTCCTGTATATCCACGAATGGCCACGTCCATCGATTACGAATGACGAAACGAATGACGCAGAAATGCATGTCAAGAAAAACTTAACTTTACGTATATCATAACAATCATCATCATAATTCAATACAGTTACGCATATCAGGTAAAGTTTAACATGCCATGGTACTATTCATGCAGAAGATTACAATAATACGTGTATATAGCCATGCTCATAATATGATAATATTCCAATAACAATACTTATATTGATAATAAAAAAATGATAATTCAATCTGGCGTCCCAGATGCTAGTATTTATCTGGCGTCCCAGATAATACAATTTACATGACTCCATGCGCATCACATATTCGGTAATATCCATAACCACACTGATATCCGTCACATCTTTATCATTTTATCCTTCAAGATATCAAATAATATTCACAAAAGACCATTCTCATTACATCATTGTACTCATTATATCATTTGTTTCACTCGATCTTTTGATTGTCAATATAACCGTATTATCCACTGACAAGATCATTTTAAGAAGATCGTTGAAATGCCAGTGAATAGGACTTAAATTAAGGCAATTTATTGAGAAACAATTCTCAAAAAATATTCTTCGTAACACGAAAATACGTAATTTCATTGAAGGGACTTCCAATTAGGTAGATTAATCATAATATTAGTTTTTGCTTGTCACCTTCAATTAAGGTGCCTGTGCACTGTCGACGATGTTTGACACTGGAAGGGGGTAGTGGCCGAAATAAAACGGGTATTCTTAAGAATAAAATTATGATACATCATCTAAATTGATTTATACTGTAAGTGCAGGAGACCTAAACCGAAACAAAGTGCAATAAAAATTAGTATTGCCTGAAATTAAAGTCAATGTCATTAAGTGTCGTAACCTGTAAAAGAATTTTAACAACTCGTTATGATGGATGTTAAAAATACAAGAGTAGACAAACAGCAAAATATTCATTCACTGGTTGGCTAACCCGGAAAAATAAACTCTTTTATCAATATAGTGTAGCAGTTTTGCTCAAGTCAACAACAAAATATTTCCAAATGCACACATTTCCGTCCTGTCACGAATCTTCAACAGTGAAATGAGATATCTCAGTTGTTGGCATCTCTTCAAACATTCCGCACCTTGTAAAGTTCATAAGGTCAACAAATGCATAAAATGTAAACAAAAGTAATTTACTCAACGAATAAATGAATAACTTTTACTTTTATTTAAAGTAGCAGATGTTAGAAAATTTCAAGTCACACAAAGGATGTTCACCAAATAAATTTTACATGCCGTTTCATGTATAGGTGTTAAGTTTGACAAGTCTACAACCAATTAACATTATTCCTTGTTCTCAATACTTACCCTTAATTACGTGAACTTTATGCGAATTGCGATCAATCATGCTAGGAGGGAAAAGCATATGACCGTGGAACTCCTATAGTATCATTCTAGAAAAGACTTAGCGTACATGTTTAAAAACAATTGTCAGTAAAATTGAAATTTGAGAGCATCTTTTTATATTTCCATGGCCGTTTATTGACATCGCTAGTAGGATGGACTCTATATAAATATCTTAATTCTATCCAATTAGAATTTGACTTTTTCACGTTTGCTACTCCCATCTTGCTGTCTTCCTTAAGGCGTATTAACATTAGTTGCGTCTGTCATTCAATTTTAAACAGGCGTGTTCTATTTTATTGACATACCTCTTTTTTCCCTTCACTCTTCTGTTATTCGCTTTAATGTCGCCTCGTTTAGTTTTCAATTGGATCCCTAATATTCCAACTATAAGGGAATCCATTTCCACTAAATAAGATACTGTGCTTCAAAGTTTTATCTGACGCGACCTCGATAGGCCTATTCTACTTCAAATAATTCACTTGTGGTCTGGGACAAATTCGCTTGTCCTCCAGTCTCATTTTCTCGTTTTTCTTCATTTTTCTATTTTTTCTAATCAATTAAAATTACTCTAACAAGCGGGCGGGCAGCAAGCAGACATTTTGTACAGAGACAATGCAAAGATGAGTGAAAACAATTCTGCCTCGTGTACATATTAACTATAGACAGAGTACCTATCTGGAATATATCCTATTATATCCCAATATACATGTACAGGAACCAGATGCCGCTATGTCCCCGAGCAACCTGCTTTGCAATTAAAAAGTTTCCGAATTAAAACCTGACCAGGCAGGTCTAAAGATGGAAAGCTGACACTTCTTATTTATTAATTCAGAAGGAAAACGGTGTCAATTCATTTATGAGCTGCTAAGTAACCATTTGTCTAAAGAAAACAGATTAAGTTATCTTTAAAAATATATATATGGCCCATTTTTGCGATGTTTCATATGATTTTTTTCCTTCTACACCTACATGTAGTTGAAACCTTTTCACGAACGCATTTCTTTCAGAGAATTAATCATCACGAGTTCTTTTCTTTTTTTCTTTTTATAGTTTTTCATACCCAGTTTTTCAGACTCTTCCTAAAACCAGCAATAAAGGCTGTCATAAAATTAACATTAGGTACCACAGGGACAAACCAGCACATAGAGGCACTACTGTGACAAAAGGAGATCATCTTATGACACCAGAGATAGAGGCTATCATGAACATCAAGTACCACAGGAACAAACTAGCACATAGAAATACCACCGTCACGAAAGAGCAGGAGTTTGAAAATCTGTGGAGCGCTGTTGGTCCCAATGTCGTCACAATTGGTATTGATAAACAAGAAGAGGGTGCCATAACCTCTATTTTGGCATCCCGAACTTTTTGTTCATCGATACCAAGCGTGACGATACTGGGGGCAACAGCGCTCCACAGATTTTCAAACTCCTGCTCTTTCGTGACGGTGGTATTTCTATGTGCTAGTTTGTTCCTGTGGTACTTGATGTTCATGATAGCCTCTATTTCTGGTGTCATAAGAGGATCTCCTTTTGCTTTAGCTTCATGTGGGCAATTCCAACCACACCATTTGACCGGGACAGTAGGATGAAATTGACGGATCAGAAAAAAGAGCAGCGTTACGTCCCAGTCCTGTAGTTTTGGTGTGCATCGGTTGTTTGATGGGAAAAGTTGTTCGTATTGTGATTTGTGAAGCAATTTTTTCATTTTACTTCCCTTATTTCCTTTGCATGCTTTCCAGATATTCTGTTTATGACGTGCCAGAAACTGTTCCAATGCCTCTCCATTCTCCAGAATCGTAGTACAGAAATAGTGCCGAAGTGCATCCGCTCCTAAGTCCACTACCAAATAAGCAAGACGAGCGAATTTACTGTCGATAATCATCCTGTAATTGAAAACAGCAAAAGTGTCACATTGTCTGATATGGATATCTAGGTCAACAAACAAATATGGTAATAGTCGTCACTATTTAAGCCTGTAATCTAAAGGCTATGATATGTTTGTACTCAAGAATGCACAGAAACGACCACTTGATAGAAATGAAAGTTTTTTTTAAGTTAAGAAGATGCATGTAAAAAGATTCTAGGTGGAACAGGTTGTTTTAGACTCCATTAATGGAAATGTACATCGAGCTGAAATTGGTAAAAAGCGACAAATATAAAGAATTATATAAGATCCTCCTTTAAGGCCTGGCTAGATCTTTTAGATCATAAACTGTCAGTACAGAGATGGTTTTCTAAAATACTGCATTCGGTCTAATGATAGAATACTGATAGATAAAAGAACAGATGTGATGAAAGGTGGCACGGATCAGGCATCATTTACATAAATGACTTCATAAATGAAAAGGAAGAAAATCTTAATTTCAGTCAATTTACACAAAAAAACTGGGAATATCACAGATTTTGGTACATTTCGTGGTGTTATGATTGCTGTATGAAAATGCCAAAAGAAGTTTGATATTGAATTGATAAGAAGGAAAATGTAGAGTATCCATTTCTGCCTACACAAATATCCTGGTTGATAAAAACATTTCACAGATGGTATTCTATATCACTTTTATGTATTTACTTTCATATTGTGAAAAAGCAGTATTTTTAAAATATTAAAAACTTGCATAAAACAAAGATAACACCCGAATGTAAGAATCACAAACGAAGACAGGAATTTAAATTAATTTCCACAGAGCCGATTGTACGTGCTTTCACTTTCAGCCAGCTTTAATTAAGCTTACAGGGCTTGACAACAAGAACAATATTAATACTGAGCTAGTTACGTTGTACTTGAACAATTTAAACAAAGGCACAGGTAGACTTACCTTCAATCTAAATTTCAGTAAACCTTTTTTTTTCACAAGGACTGGCGTTTACCTCAATCTTCTAGAAATTCTCTACAGTTTGTGTACACCCTCGTCGACGACTGGACTTACAGGGTTTTGTTTAAAAACTTCGCCCGAAGAAGTTTTCCTTTCTCATGTGGAACCTTCCAGCTGTTAACGTCGATTTGACGTCGATCAGAAGTATGAAGATATATATATATATATATATATATATATATATATACGACTGCTGACTCAGCTAGTTTCCTTATCGTGCCAATGTTTGCATTTGTTCAGATAAAGCTTGGACCCACTCTTCAAATATTAGGTCATGGGCCAAAGATAGTATCGTCGAAAATTCCTAATTTATGTTTGCGCTGAAAAACATTGTGAACGTAACTATAACCGTTTTGGTATTGAGCTATTGAGTACCTGTGGCATACACTTTTTCTTGGTTTGGCATTAGGTTTATTACGATAGTGATCTTTTTCAATATGAGTAGGTAATTTAAAGCTTTGGTCAGAGAAGTATTTTCCAGACTTTGGTTATTTGTCCAAGTTTTTATTTTTAAAAAAAGTCTTTTTGGCGTAGGTTTGACCTTAACTTGCCATTGCGAATACCTTCTCGGCAATATTCCCATTGCATTAGACGAAAAAAGGGGAAAAAAAACGATATGAAAATAGTTGGCTGTCATATGGGAATGCCGACCCTTCGTCAGCGCCAAAAATAACTAGGCCTACAAGGTATTATCGTCTTCTCTATCGCAATACAACTGTACTTCCGTTGCTCTGGTGAATTGATAGATTGATATTCCTTATCTATTTTTGACCTCATGTTAGCAATTTTCTAATTTTCTAAGCGCCCTTGGAAATATACTAACATGAACAGGGGCGTATTCAGAGCTATTTTCTGACAGTCTTCCAAATTATCTTTGTTGATCCATCCTCCAATTTTTGATCGTCTTCCAACAGAAAAAATTAGATACCTGTCAACGTAAACTTGAAAATCTGACCGTCTTCTGGAAGACCCAGAAGACGGCCTAAATCCACCCCTTCATGGCCTCCCATTCCCAATTCAGACCTAAAAAAAAAAAAAAAAAAAAAAAAAAAAACGACAACCCCCCTCAAATAAAGTACGTAATGATGATTTTTTTCTTTTGATTTGATAATGCCAGGAAGACGATAGCGTTCTAAAATAACCCAGGTCTAGAGATGTAATCGAGTCATTAAGTTAGATAAGGTATAAGTCATCGAATCCAAGTGCAGGGGAATGTTTCATGGAATTGAGACTTTTTCGAGGAAAATTAGATTCGGTACGAAAATCTTAATTATATAGGATTCAACTTAACAACTTAACACAAAATTCTATTTTAGCAGATATTATTATTTTTATCATCGTCAACGCTACATTTTCTTAAGGTAGCGAGTTTAATATGTGTCTATTGTTACTTTCATTTCTTTTGTAACCTCCGGGTATTTTTCTAAATTGTGTGGTTGTTTGTGCATGGGAAGGGGCAGGGGGGGGGCGAAATCCCGGATGGACAACTTAACTTCAAAAATTTTTATATGTCATTTGGAGAGATGCGGCCTACGGACACAAAAAAGGCGCTCAGTAATCATGGCTGCCAACTGATCAGCTGAACTGAGAGCGCACTGCAATCAATGGAAGGGTGGCCACTTTACCTGGCGACCAGACCTCAAGTATTCTCTCTGAAGCAATGCAATCAAGGTTCTTTCCACAAACTTGTGATCTTGATCGCAGATTCGTGTTAAGCAACAGTTCAAGTACAAAGCAAATTATAATTTTCAGTCGGCTGACTTCATGAAACCCACCAAGACTCGGACGCTATATTGAAGAGACCTGTAGGTGGGGATGAGGGTTCGGGAGCATCTTCCTTTAGGCCACAAAAGGCCCGCTTAAAAACAAAAACTCAGTTGGGTTACATTCCATTTATCAAGTTTAGTTAACTACGGGGGTGTTAAGGGATAATAACTCTTCGTTTTGGCCAAAAAAATTAATTTTCCTGGAGTAAACAACAATTTTCCCATACTTACCAATGTTTAATGAATCCATTTTTATATTCAAAGTTAGTCCCTGTTTTTTTCTAAAAAGTTTGGCTTTCTGTTAAAATATCTTAGAAGATTATAACAGAGTATAGCCATCAATGGAGGTCACGTGATCTGAAGACAAGCTCAGATATCAGAATAATAGCTATAACTGCTGTTTTTGTGGTAAAACAGAATATATCATATTTCTATGAGTTATTCACAATGTTTTTATTGTGAAATATAGACCTCATAAGAAGAGTTATTATCCCTTTAAGGTTAAATTTTATAAGATAAATACTACATTGGTTATTTTGTCCATTATCAAACACAGCCACTTGCAAATCTAGCTCTAATTTTTAATGCATTACAACATGTTCTGTGTTTTAATAAGAGTTTTGCATTGGAAACATACTTTTTATTCGTCTTAGTTTAAGATAAGCTTTTTAAAAACACATCGCTGGTTTAAACATGAATGTGTGCGCGGTCACGATGCAATTTTGCAGGAGAACATCATATTAAAATACATTTGGCCATTAAATTGTCTATATAACCTTCTGAACCAGATTGTTAAGTTCAATATCACAATTATCTACCCTTAACATACAACAGGTATTTATTACACCTAGCTAAACGGCCGTTCTTTTCAAATGGAGGGTCGTCATCAGTACCCCCATACATTTCATTTCGTAAGTCCATAGACAACCACTTACAGTCTAACTCTGATTTTTAATGCATCAAGCATGTTTTGCATCTTAAAAAGGTGCAGTTGTAAATTAGTTGCTTTAAATGGGATTTTAAAAACAACTGTTATGCATGAACAGGAGCGATGCCATATCTCAGCTTTCCAAACGGTCATTACTTATACATTTTAGCTATCAAATTGCCCATGTAAACTTCTGTACCAAATTGTAAAGGTCAGCATTACAATTAACCAGCTTACAAACTATGAGACACTTATTACTTCTAGTTAAACGACCATTCCGTTCCAATGAGGTGTCGTCATCGTAATCACCATACATTTCATATGTCAGGCCCGTAGGCAAAGGGGGGGGGGGTCACAGTAACTACCCTTTTGGTCATAAATTAAGGGTCCGCGCTGAATCAAAATCAAAATTGATCTACAGTGTGCTGTAGGTTCTATGCCATTTCCCGTGTTTAGAAGTTGTTAAATTAAGACCCAATTTTTCAGAAGAAAAAAAAAAGAATCCCCTCTTGAAATCGAAGGCTACATGCCTGTGAGTTCTAGTGCACAAAATGCATTAATGACTGTTGCACTTAAAGGGCACCTCTGCTCTAATAAGGGGTCATCAACGTATCTTTGTATTCATCGCCACATCAGAGGGGTTACCGACACTGAACGCTCAGATGTGACCCTATGATAAGGTGTGAACTAATGTCTTGTTGTTCGTCATTAATTCTTTTAGTCTCTCACTAATACACTTGGCCCGTGTTCGGAAGGGATTTGACATGAAGCGGTTTGAGTTTTAACTTGAACTGCGGACGCTTGATCGGATCAGTGTTTTAAGCTTGGTGTTCCTTCTTTGATCAATAAATTAAAGGTACTCTATCCGGATTTTCGCGTCAAATCGTATTTCTCCCTAAAAAGCCATTTTGGTCGACTAATGAATCATTGCTACCAGACCCGTACGTCCTTTCACTTGGATGTTTTGTTTTATACCATCTCTAATTAGGTAATTCAGTTCTAAATGTCTGGTCAGTCGTTAGGAACTACATGTCTTCCTGTGCATTTTAGAGGGAAATATCGACATTATAAACTAAAGTACTATTGTTTAAGGGGTTTCATTGTTTAAGATCTGAGCTAGGAGAGATAAGTAGTCTTGTAGGGTATGTAGACATGAAAAATATGACTGTGGGGCATTTTCAAACGAGCACAGTTTACGTAATGATAGACCTAAGAGGCAGAACGAGCGGAGATTGGGTTTAAGGAATGGCTATTGCACCCTGCGGTCAAAAAATGGGGGCTTGCAACCATGCACAGCGTCTACTGGCAAAATGAGACATAAATTTGCTTTGTGTTTAATATTTCGGCCATTTCCTGGTACACATTTCTTACAAGGTAAAATTTGTTGTGTAGACATGATATTGATATAAGAATAACATGGCATCGTGGACAGATCTACGCATGCGCATATCATTGCCTTCTGCAAGCCCGCGATAATTCCAGAATGATTTAATCATTTGAGGACAAACATTATCACATATTACCATAACTTATCTCTTCTCACATATTTGAACTGCTCACAAGGTAGTTTCATAAGCATTAATTGCACTCCTTTATTTTACATTTTCAACCAAATCCAGCCAATCCTGACAGAGTTTTCTATCTTGATGGTGTGGTGATGCATGATAAACGTGTAGTTTGTGCCAGTGTGTTAGATGTGATATTGCACTAGGTGTGAAAGGACAAATATATTACCTGGCGTACATTACTAAATATTCAGCTGCTATTCGTTCAAGTTTTAAAACAATTCAAAGTGATCTGCTAATAATTGTGACAATATTATGCCCCACAGAACAGTCTGTTGCTATGTATGGAATATATTATGTTTGATTTCAGGTAATAATGAACGCATATTAGAACAATTATTCTAGATATGTTTTAAATGTTGTCAGGTCTTTAAACATAACATGATTTTGGTCTCAGTTTTTTACTTTTTAACGAGCTGTCATCACGAAATTCCCCATCCATAACTTTGGAGTCTCGTGGGGAATTGCTCGGTGCACCGTCTGGCGGCGAACGCTCACTCCAAGGAGGAACGAAAACATCTTCGAAATCGTCGTCCGCTACGTCAAACGGTTGCCGTGCACGGTTTTCGAAATACCCCTCCTGCTGACAAAGAACTGAGTCCTTAGATGCCGAAGGCTGCGTCCACATATCTGCCTCGTAGCGAAATTTAGTGGCCTCGTACTGTGGTTCACAGTCAGAAGAAGTTATATCAGGAGAGCTATAAGTCTTCTTTGAAAGAGGCTCGTTTCTCTTGCTGTGAAATTTTCTCGTCGATGTTTTGAATCTTGTCTTTGAAGTTGCCCCGTCATTGATAGCGGGTGTTTCCATTTTACTGCCCTCGGGTGATTTCTTTTGCTTTCCCTTATGCAGTAATTGCAAACACCTATTCGTAAACGAGCGCGCCTGTTCGGCAAAGTTCCGCGGTTTCTCCATGTGTAGTTCATATTTAGAACAATACCTAGGCTGGTCAAGCGGTTCCTGGCTCTGATAAATATTATCCTGGCTTTCAGTAATCACAGAAATAACTTTATTAGTGGGGAGGATTGAGCGCCGAGGTCGTGGACTGTACGTCTCGGGACTCAGCAGGCTGGTCTTTCGTACCTCTGCGGGGCTGACAGGTGCGTGTTGCTCCCCACTAAGTATCGGATCCGGTGCCGCCGACTGAAGAGCCTCGAGCTCACGCCGGCCCACTTGAAATTTGTCTTGCTCTTGCACGTTGCTCTCAAGCTCGTTATTCCTCATCTCTGGGCTGCTTTTATATCTCTGGCGAATTTTTTCGATTCTTTGAGAATCCCGTGCGACGAATTTCTCTAGTTCGCATGCTNATTTTTTATAAAAACGTATAAGCCCAGGGCTTTGTTTCTATGACTTTGGTCCTTTTACTATCACCGGCCTTAAAGGGCACCTCTGCTCTAATAAGGGGTCATCAACGTATCTTTGTATTCATCGCCACATCAGAGGGGTTACCGACACTGAACGCTCAGATGTGACCCTATGATAAGGTGTGAACTAATGTCTTGTTGTTCGTCATTAATTCTTTTAGTCTCTCACTAATACACTTGGCCCGTGTTCGGAAGGGATTTGACATGAAGCGGTTTGAGTTTTAACTTGAACTGCGGACGCTTGATCGGATCAGTGTTTTAAGCTTGGTGTTCCTTCTTTGATCAATAAATTAAAGGTACTCTATCCGGATTTTCGCGTCAAATCGTATTTCTCCCTAAAAAGCCATTTTGGTCGACTAATGAATCATTGCTACCAGACCCGTACGTCCTTTCACTTGGATGTTTTGTTTTATACCATCTCTAATTAGGTAATTCAGTTCTGAATGTCTGGTCAGTCGTTAGGAACTACATGTCTTCCTGTGCATTTTAGACAGAAATATCGACATTATAAACTAAAGTACTATTGTTTAAGAGGTTTTAATGTTTAAGATCTGAGCTAGGAGAGATAAGTAGTCTTGTAGGGTATGTAGACATGAAAAATATGACTGTGGGGCATTTTCAAACGAGCACAGTTTACGTAATGATAGACCTAAGAGGCAGAACGAGGGGAGATTGGGTTTAAGGAATGGCTATTGCACCCTGCGGTCAAAAAATGGGGGCTTGCAACCATGCACAGCGTCTACTGGCAAAATGAGACATAAATTTGCTTTGTGTTTAATATTTGGGCCATTTCACGGTACAAATTTCTTACAAGGTAAAATTTGTTGTGTAGACATGATATTGATATAAGAATAACATGGCATCGTGGACAGATCCACGCATGCGCATATCATTGCCTTCTGCAAGCCCGCGATAATTCCAGAATGATTTAATCATTTGAGGACAAACATTATCACATATTACCATAACTTATCTCTTCTCACATATTTGAACTGCTCACAAGGTAGTTTCATAAGCATTAATTGCACTCCTTTATTTTACATTTTCAACCAAATCCAGCCAATCCTGACATATAAACAGAGTTTTCTATCTTGATGGTGTGGTGATGCATGATAAACGTGTAGTTTGTGCCAGTGTGTTAGATGTGATATTGCACTAGGTGTGAAAGGACAAATATATTACCTGGCGTACATTACTAAATATTCAGCTGCTATTCGTTCAAGTTTTTTAAAAAACAATTCAAAGTGATCTGCTAATAATTGTGACAATATTATGCCCCACAGAACAGTCTGTTGCTATGTATGGAATATATTATGTTTGATTTCAGGTAATAATGAACGCATATTAGAACAATTATTCTAGATATGTTTTAAATGTTGTCAGGTCTTTAAACATAACATGATTTTGGTCTCAGTTTTTTACTTTTTAACGAGCTGTCATCACGAAATTCCCCATCCATAACTTTGGAGTCTCGTGGGGAATTGCTCGGTGCACCGTCTGGCGGCGAACGCTCACTCCAAGGAGGAACGAAAACATCTTCGAAATCGTCGTCCGCTACGTCAAACGGTTGCCGTGCACGGTTTTCGAAATACCCCTCCTGCTGACAAAGAACTGAGTCCTTAGATGCCGAAGGCTGCGTCCACATATCTGCCTCGTAGCGAAATTTAGTGGCCTCGTACTGTGGTTCACAGTCAGACGAAGTTATATCAGGAGAGCTATAAGTCTTCTTTGAAAGAGGCTCGTTTCTCTTGCTGTAAAATTTTCTCGTCGATGTTTTGAATCTTGTCTTTGAAGTTGCCCCGTCATTGATAGCGGGTGTTTCCATTTTACTGCCCTCGGGTGATTTCTTTTGCTTTCCCTTATGCAGTAATTGCAAACACCTATTCGTAAACGAGCGCGCCTGTTCAGCAAAGTTCCGCGGTTTCTCCATGTGTAGTTCATATTTAGAACAATACCTAGGCTGGTCAAGCGGTTCCTGGCTCTGATAAATATTATCCTGGCTTTCAGTAATCACAGAAATAACTTTATTAGTGGGGAGGATTGAGCGCCGAGGTCGTGGACTGTACGTCTCGGGACTCAGCAGGCTGGTCTTTCGTACCTCTGCGGGGCTGACAGGTGCGTGTTGCTCCCCACTAAGTATCGGATCCGGTGCCGCCGACTGAAGAGCCTCGAGCTCACGCCGGCCCACTTGAAATTTGTCTTGCTCTTGCACAATGCTCTCAAGCTCGTTATTCCTCATCTCTGGGCTGCTTTTATATCTCTGGCGAATTTTTTCGATTCTTTGAGAATCCCGTGCGACGAATTTCTCTAGTTCGCATGCTTTTGGTTGTGTTGCGGCGTTTAGCCTGAATTCTCGAGAGAATGAGGGACCGAGGGTTTTCATTTTCTCTTTTTGGAAGAAGTCCTCTGTCGGCAGCCACGGTCGGCGAGGGTAGTTTGAAATGGTTGTTGTGTGTCGCCTAAACAAGCGCTGGGGGTTGGGAGGCTGTTGTGGTCGGCTCCGCGTGTACTGTTCCAGTTTTTCGACGTCACACGTGCCCTTGTGAGGCATGTGACACGCGGTAGTTTGTGAACGTGGAGGTGCCGTGACTCTCGCTCCTTGACGATCCTCGAACCGTTTGCTTGTCTGCGTGCTGGTAGAGCGAAGAAAGGGAGGGAGGTCATCCTTGGCTCTCACCCGACACAACGTCTCAATCGCGTCTGTCACACCTAACGCATCGTCTTTAGATCTGACCCGATTCAGTGACCCGACAGTCTCTTTTTCAAGTAAAACATCTGAATTCTTCAGTCTTGGTCTACTATCCATGCTCTTGGCTCGGCGACGCCTTTCAATTGTATCGACTTCGTCCAGGCCGCAATTTTGTTTTTTATTAACCCTTTCTACTGGACTCTCTGATTTGTTTCTCGTCTTATCTTTATACTTATCAAAGTTCGGAAGCTGCAACTGTGAGAATTTGTAGATATTCTCTATACTTCCAGAGGTGTTTAGATCTTTCAAGTGTTTCACCATTTGATCGAGCATAGTGTTCAGGTGATCACCTGGACTGGCCGGGCTGGGGGGATCCTTTTCAGTTCTCAGCTTCTGGGAGGCGTGATTTCCAGGAGTGGTGGGACTCGAAGTAGAATCTGGCTTAGTTCGCAATTGACTGGAGCAGTCTAAAGGCTGCAACTTCGGTCGCAGTTTGGCGGAGGAGTATTGTGCGTCACGTTTTTTCTCGTCCACCTTTCGCGAGTTACTTTTAACTGCCTGTCGTGCAGCTGCACTTCCGTGCATGTTAACGTTGTCTTTGCGTTTATGTAAAGATCTTCCTCGGTCCAGCACCTCGTTCTCGTGCACCTTCTTATCAGAAGTCACTGCGCGCTCGGAAACGTCACGTTGGGACACCCCGCGCTTGGACATTTTGTCGTACACCACTGTACGCAGGTAAACGTCGGAAGTGTCCGCAGAGTCTGATGATGACGACGTAGATGTGCTGTCAGTGTTCTCACTGGATGAGGACAAGTTCGACCTTGGCTTCGGCATATTATTAAAGTGTTCCGACGAACGTCGCACTTGTGAATTTTCAAAGAACGCCTGCGTTGAGACACTTTTCACCTTAGAGTGACTTACGTCGGGGCCCGTGTCTCCACTTGTGGCTGAATCGCTTTTACTTCTTTTGCGGTTTTCTTTAAATGGAGTCTTAATTATGTTGAGGTCTGATGCACAGCTATTCCGAGGGCCGTTATCAGAAAATTTGTGTTTTAATTTAGCTTCTCGATGGGTGCACGCAGTGTTTGTACAACCTCTGCTGGCACAGTCAGTGTCTTCATTTTGACTCGGTCCCCGGTTTAGCACAGTAACGTTTTTGTCATATGCGCTTTTAATAGTGTCCGGTACTAAACGCTCGTTGGTATCACCTGTGTTATCCTTATGCACATTTACGTTAAAATCTGAACGGTTCTTGTCTTTTCCATCATGCACGCTGTCTTCACGTGGATATGCTTTTAAATCTGAGCGATTTTTGTTGTCTACTGGACGATCTTTACTGGGAATGAAATGTGCGTCTACACGCTGAATGTCTCTATTTACTGTACCGCTCGTCTCCTCTCTAAACGACTTTGATTCATCAGTCTGTGTTACGAGAGGGACCCAAATTGGTTCAGTCTCGGTATGACCTGCGAACTTCGACCTACAATGGCTGATATTGGTTTTCAGATCGAGGTTTCTTCGTGGGGTGGACCTGATTCCATCTGCGACAAAACGACTTCCTGTACTGTGTCGTCTATCTCCAAAATGGTTTTCGTCACGACTAGCTGCAATCACAGGCGACTCTACAAGATAATCCACCTTTGTTCGGTCGCTAGTATCGGTAAAAGTTGTAATCTTGTTACCTAGCTTTTCAACTCCAGAGTGACAGCTTCTTTTCTTTTCTATCCCCTCCTTCTTCACCTCGTCTTCACCACCGCCACACCTGGCAAGGGGCTCTCTATCATTTAATCCGTGTCCGCGAGATGCGTGCACAATTAACCGCCCGTTGCTTGACAAGATTCATGGCTTTTACGGGCCTCTTTAGCACCTGACTGAGCCGTGTCATTACTCGCCGGAGGTAGCACTTTATCTGCGCGTGAGACACTCCCCCTGTCGTGACTTGCCTTCATTTCGACAGAAGATGTCACATTTACGTGTATGGCGCCATCTTTGGGTGACGACGTAGTCAAGGAGTTCTCTTTTCTCGCGGCCTTCTCCGCGATCGCATCATCGATATCGGCTTTGCTTTCAATGCACAGAGGCTCCGTCGGTGATTTACGTGCACTTTGGGCCCCCCGCTCCACCCCGGCCATATCTGTTAAAGATTTTCGTAGCTCAGCGTTCATTTGTCGGAAACTTGGTACCTTACTTCGGTCGACGTAACCAAAGTTTGTTTTGATGGCCGTTAGCACGTGTTGTTCCGCGGGTGCCGTTTTAACGTGTTGTTTTGAGTAACGATAGTTGTCAGTTTTGTGAAGGGAGACATCCTTCTTACATAAATAATGCACAGCGCTCACAGCGGCCTCTGTGGCCTCTTTGTTTGGTTTCTCTGAAATTGTTTGTTCAGAAAACGTTTCTCTGCACGCACTGTTACCATGACAACCATCCAAAACGCTGCTGCAGCAACCAGCCATTTTGTAGTCATTATTATTATTATTACTATTGCTTGTTTTATTCTCATCAGTAGTGTCTTCGTCTACGGAGCGGTCGGACGCAAGAATATTTTTATTAATTGGATCTTTTTCTGTGGCTCCATTCTCCTTGTTACACTCCTCAATAAATGATGATTGTTCAGTTAAAGTTGACATCGTCATTATAGTGTCCTGTGACGAAATACTCTCCGTGTCCGCGTCGGAAAAATCCGACATGTCGGCAGCACGAAGTGCCCACACCCTATCAGAGCTCGTCACGTCCAGTCTCCATAGCGGCGTACACGGTATTTCACTTTTACTGGGCTCAGTTTTTTCTAGCATACCTAGTGGAGAATACTTCCCTCCTGAGGCACATTCATTGGGGCCGTCGTACCCAATATGTTCTGCCAGCCGTTCAGGTATATCTACATCACCGCACTCTGAAGGTGAAAATGAAGAGGAGTGGCGGTTCATGACGTCCTGTGTCTCGGAGTGCGGTTTTGAGTCTGGAGTGTCATCACTGCGGTTGTATTGGTCATGTTCGCACTGATTTTCAGTAATTGGCGTCTTTTTTATTTCATCACTGTTCGCGGTTTTGTCTTCCGCATTAGTATCATTAACATCGATATTAATGTCGCAGGAAAAGAGATGGAATCTCGTGTCGTTGCTGAGACTGTCATTGTTGTCACTGATTATATCTTTTTCTCTTACAAAATTATCGTTTTCTAAATTTGAGGTGTCACGCGCTGCGCATTCAGCCCCGGGTGAAACGCTGTTTATCTCACTGGCGCCCCCTGGCGATGCGGGGTCTGTTGCTCCAATGGCGCCCTCTGGTGAAGAGGCCTTGGCTGACCACTTGACTCTCTCAGTGGCGCCCCCAAGGCCGTCGTCTTTCGCAGACTTAATAACATTACACAGACTTGGTGCATTATTTGGTTTATCGACCAGATGTTCTGGGGAACACAACACACCGTTGTTGTGATTACTTACGTGTTCTATTTTATTTAAATGTTTATTCCGTGGTGTGGATTGCAATTTACATTGCGATTCTGATGCCAAGTCACACTTGGTGGTCGTTATTGTGACTTCATGCAGGGAATTAATTGGAATATGACCCGCACCAGAGCAGGGTGTCTGGCCTGACAAATTCTGCTGCGTTTTCATCGATTTCGACGGTTGTTCTTGAGAACTGGGGTCTGCCGCCTGTTCCCTGGTCTCGCTCTGAATGTGGTCACGTGAACATGCTTGGTGACGTGGCTTCCGCTTCCTTGAAAATGTACCGTATTCACCGTCATCTGTAGTTTCCAATTCGTCCATGATCTTCTCGTAGAGAACGCTAAATGCGTCTACCTCGTCTGTATGCGCGGATTTGTCTGAAGATGAAAAATCACACATTTGCTATGAACTGTAGGCCTATGATGAAATCTTTAATGTTTTTCAAATATTAACATTTTGTTCAACAATTACTTAAAGTATTTTGATTGAAACAAACAAAAAATACCTGGCTTAAAATAATATTTGGCAAGATAACAATTGCATGCAAATAATTCAAATGCAAGGGTGCACCCTCCTACTATCTTTTATGGGAAGTTACATGTAGAAAACAGACATACTTTGAGGCAGACAGAGCTTATGTTTTATTTTCCATTATGGAGGGGGTAGAGAAAGGTGTTGCGATCGAAAAAAAATAAATAAAAAAAGATTAATGTTTTCGTCACACCCTTTCCCGACTTCATTACAACACACACCCACAGGGTATGTGTTTTTCTATTTATTTCAGAATGTATTTATGGCGACAGATTACAAGATTAGGCAATGCGATTAACCGGAAGGTCTATATGGTTGGAAGTGAGCCGACCGAAAAAAAAATGCAAGATCATATAAGGTTAACTTACTACTCATGTCAAGTGCTTTTTGCGAGCAACAACTATCAGCCATTGCGTTGACAACTTCAGCAATTCCAGATCCTTGGCTGGTTTTCTTCACAGAGTTGTCGTCTGTGTCTGCCGTCTGTCGATTATGACGGTTAACGTCTGTTTTTGTTGTCTGCGGACTTTGAACGGTATCGTCTGCTCCATTTCTGACGAAAGTTTCATCTTTTACGAACTGAACAGAATTCATTTGAAGTCGAGTTTCATTCACATAAAGCAGACGGAAATAATACCCATCTGCTTCTTTAATGAAGATGAAAACTGCTCATGATTACTTTCAAAAAAGAAATAAATTCTTGAGAAATCTGAGTTATTGCAACTACTGTGAATGATGCAATCGCAAAATCTCTTTTTTTTTAATGTAAAATGTTTGTCCATCCACTTTCAAAGCAACTGAATATGTTGAACACATTAATGTTTAAATGCGTTCTTGCTTTAGATTAAACGCAGTAGGCCTAACGTAAAATGTCAGTGCAACCCCTTAAACGCCGCAGTCGCCTGTAAAAAATCTTAACAACTCCTTGTATGTTTTTTTCCTTTCCACTCCCATTTAAAGAGGTTTCGATAAATTTCAAGTATCAGTTGCACGTGTTGACGCTCAGCGCAGCAGTTTCACGCAGTTCTTCATGTCGTTTAGAAACAATAATATCCCGTTTCTTTTCTAGCGATACATACATACAAGGTACATCTTTATCCTGTAGCTAATCGCAGGTGAGTACTAATGATTTTACATTAAAGCGCTGGATGCATCACGCTTTGTCAGACTGCCATTAGTTCAAGTTTGACCGTGGCAGCTAAATCCGTCACAGTAACAAAAAGTCACATCACCCTCAATTGAGAAATGTCGCGTGATTAACTCACAGATACCAACGAAGACAGACTGCAATTATCCAGCATATGTTGTCCCACTTGCTCTCTTTCCTATAATGCTGTAAGCTCGAACAAAATCGATACAGTTTGTAGGATTTCGAGATGATTGGACACATTAGCGTTCCGAGCGACCCTTAAACAAAGCAGCATCGTCTTTTATAACCCACTGTCTTCAGATCATTGGTACGATGTAAGGAATAAAATTCTGAGGTGACCTGTACATATTTTCGGTAGCTCCAGAGCAGCGATATTGGAATCCCTCCAGCTGCAGGTGGTGCCAGAAACTCTCCTCTTTCCAGTGCGTGTTTTAAAACACCCAGCGTTCTGTTTATCAGCGTAAACACTTCACAGTTAAGCTATGTCAGTAGTACAGAGCAGTAGTAGAAACGGTAGAAAGGCATTTTGAATCATATTTTGCAACCAACACCTCGAAAACAAACATTTGCCTTACTTGATTAGCGCCCAGTTTCTGGGTCGTTATGGTAGCACGTATCTGCTACTGAGCTATGAAAAATACGCACGAACGTCATAAGCAAAGAAAAACGCCATCATCTCTCCTCTTGAGTACAACAGGCCACTGTCAATCCGTAAGACAACACGCAGCTCCTGGAATTTCTCTGTTTGCTATATATAATATATACACACACATCCTCATCGGTGTTCATTGCTGGGTAAAATCTGTATATAATGCTACAGGCTCGGCAACACCGTCTGTTGTTTCGATTGCCTAACATACGGAATGAATATTGTTTAAATTGTCTCAAGTGAGTCCGTAAATTGAGAAATCCAATACACAGTAGCTGTTCCTGCTGAATACAATGGCTACTAAACAAAAGCCTGAGAGATTCTGGCGGATGTTGGAATTACCAGCTATTACCGTTGCCCTGCGCACCGACTAAACATCGTATCAGCATAAACCTACAATTTCTGTTGGATAATTCTCTGGATAACTGCGCTAGTTTTGTACATACGGACTAATTTTTCTTTCAAATTCTCTGAAGTCTTCACGGCACGTGCAAAACAATTGAAAAAGGCCTTGAGGTTGCTCTGCGGCGTGTTTAATGAGGTGCTACGCATCGGGTCCCGCGTCTGGGATTATCCTGTTAACTTGCGCAACGCTGCCACAGCGGACGTGATTCTGAAATTAAAAGAAAGTCAATGAAAAAAGGATGTGAATGAAATTTCAAGTTAAACCAGACTGCCAGGAACTTCACCGCCAGCATGAAGGCAACGGGTTGATTACATGTACGAGGAGTGGTGTTGTTTCATCGACTGTAACCCCATGCAACGTTGCCTAATAATCAGGAATATCTGCTCTACTTTGTTAAAAGTAAAGAAATTGCGTTTTATCCTGTAATAATGAAAGGGCAGATTGTTATACCTCAAAATGCTAATTATTGATAGTAAAAAAAGGCAAACAAAGCACGTATGTGAGGCAAATGTTATAGGCAAAAATGCGTACATTGGGGAATGGTAACTCTTAATATTGCAAAAATAAAAAAACTCCAACGGCATGTGTGTGTGTGTGTGTGTGTGTGTGTGTGTGAACAGACACAAGGATACTCAAGGAGAGAGAAACTGAGAGACAGAGAGAGACAGAGAGAGACTGTATATTTAAACTGCTCACGTAGATGCACTCATAGCAATCTGCTTCACATTTAGAAATGTACGGGTTGCTATATAGACTACAGACACTACTATTTAATCAAGGATCCATTTTGGACCAATGTTATATCCATCCAGGCGCCTTTAAATAAATTCAGATGAATCCTAACCATTGCAGTAATAGAGAGATTTTCTATCAATATATTGTTATTGGCGGGGGCAGGAGGCATCACTTCCTCACCAAGTACAGTTAGAACAAGATTTACAATTCTTTTTCGATATTCGCCTCCACAAATAATGCACAATCATGAACATAGACAACTAAACTACATCATTACTTAGATAAATAATTAAACAGCACATAAACATATTCTTCAAGCTTGACCTATTCCATTCAGTGTTATGGATGAAACCTCCCCCACCCCCCTTCATTAGCTAGCATCACCTAACCTAGCGGCCACATCCACTGTACAAATTACTACATCTCCTCAGGATTAAGATCAGGCTGTAAAAATACCATTAGAAAGGTAAACTCTCTAAGTACTATCTTATGTTGTCTGGCTGGTCTCATACAGTTTACCCACTTTAAACAGATGTCACGCACACGTGTACGCACTCACCGTTTTTTCTTCCTTTCTTTCTTTTTTTCCCAATAAACACGTTAAAAAGTTTACGCACACTCACCTGCGTGCGTTCTGTGGCAGACCTCTTTCTAATCGGCCCTCGAACGATCTTAAACGCTTAAACCCTAACCGTGCCACCTGCGTTCACAGTTTCCTTAAAATCAACCACCCGTCAAAAGCTTGCGTATTCATATATAAATACATTAGACGGTGTAAATCTATCCCAGAGGACCCTCCAATTAACTAGGGATTAGATATATCTCGACACAATGTACCCATCAATCATTTTTACGTAGTAAAGGATGGATCTATCAATAAGTTAATGTCCATCTTTTAGTTGCCAAAAAACAATGAACATCTTCGTAATCTTCAGGGATATGCTATGATTACATCGTGCGGTCATTTTAAACATGAGAGTCCTCAGTGTGTATGGATTTTTGCTTTATAGTTTCCTTGTGCAATAACTAAGCGAAAATAATTTTTTCAAACACGTAGAACAATAATAACAAGTTAAATGATATTCCCTTTCTAAAACACACACACGTACACAGAGAGAGAGAGAGAGAGAGAGAGAGAGAGAGAGAGAGATGCTAAAGTAATGAACTTTTCCCAAAAACAAGCAAGCCAAATTTGATTTATTTTCAACCTTCTTCAATTTCATTTTTGGGCGTAATTGCCGACGGTCTTCCCCGCCCAGTATCTGGTGTGTGTTATAATGCTGTAGGCCCTACTCCACATTATCATACAATGCAACTTTAAAATGAAGACCAACTGAGTGACCCAAACCGCAAAATAAACAGGCAGACATCAGTATATATTCAAAGATGTTTGTAAGAGGGCGTATATTTTAAAATGCACTGCTTTATCTATGATTCAGAGCAGAGTACGATGAATTCACCCCGAGTCTCAAAGGAGAATTGTAAGCCGTCTTCTCTCCTATCGGCATGCCTTTCAGTATTGGACTGGAAATAATAATAATAATAATTTATTCGAGCATTAAATGTGGCAGTTACATTTGTTAGCCCTCTATACTACAAATATATGGCAGAAATGGCAGATGCGTGATTGTACATGTAGGCCTACTTAGAGAGGTGGGTTTACAGTGCCTTTTGAAACTCATGGTGGTTTTCTGTCGACTACAGGAAAACTGTAGAGACACACCCACAGACTTTATATTAGGCATACAGTAAACCCTTGTAAGACCCTCTTGTAACAGCGTGATTTTTCCAAACACAGTAGAAAGTAGATAGAAGCGAAAATGTTTTCTCATATTGAAAAAAAAGGGGGGGGGGGGGAGAAAGAATTTAGAATAAAACAAATGGCGCTTCTGATTACTATTTATCTATTTATCTGTCTATCTATCTAGGACACTGTAAACCTACCTCTCGTCAGATAGATAAATAATTACATGATTTTTTTTGAAAGGCGAACACTCTTAGTACTGTCTTATGTTGCCTGGACTGTCTGAGTGGTCGTAAGTGACTTAAGGTCATTCAATTCGGTACGCTTTTTAGGAAATGCCAGTGATTTTAATCAAGAAAAAGGATTCGCTTCGACTATTTTAATACCCACCGTCATCAGTCAACAAATAAACCATTGGGTCACAGATATATAATTACTCCATTTCTATGAGTTTTGGCTTAATATATTAGGGCAGAGTAGAAAATAGTCAGCCTTCCATTATCTACAAAGGTGAAAGGTATCCCCAGTATAAATACAACTTTCATAAAAACCACAAATAATCACAAAAATGAATGGATATGAACGACCAGAAGCTGCACTTGGAATAAATCGAATACGTACCGGCCGGTTCTAACACGTTGATCAGCTTCCTATACGTCTTCATTAACGATGAGATCTCTGGCCGCTAACCACTGCATAATTTGGCACTAAATATCGAAAGGACCTCGACATCGATATCATTTTTCCTCTTACACACCGCGGTTTCCATTCATCTGTGCACAGCCTTTTAAATCTGCGAATATCATCTTCAAACAATATTAGACCGGCAGTAAAAAGTCTTCTTTTTATACAAAAATGGTCTCGTGGACTATCGCCAGTGCATATCCCTTTTTAAGCTGCATAAACGGCTGGAGTGGTGTCAAGTATTGAACTGGGCACAATAACAATACCGCCAGGACCCGTGATCTGCCTTGTGAATCGATTCAGTCCATGCGAATGCACGCCTTTGAAACGGCGTCTGTTTTAAACGATTTTATTGGAAACGTTTGCTTGCGTTGTATTGTGTGAAATGGGAGCAGAAAGAAAAGAAAGTGTTTAAGAAAAACACTGGGAGGTCAGAAAAGGAATGTTTTGGAATGTTGAGTTATCTGCAGATGAAGCAAATCTGGCCAAAAGTTCTGGAATCCATGATAACTGCTTTCTTTCAAAATGCTGTTAGAGCTTTAAAAAGTTTGTTTTTCCAGTGTTATTCCTACTGCTTAATTCAGACGCTTCAGTCATTTATGGTTTCCAAGTCGTGCAGAAATTAAAGAAAACAAACAGAAAAAATAACTTTTTAACAAATTTTTTTCTTATCACATTATGTTAGTTGAGAAATAAGTTACACAATTTAAAGGGGTGTGAATGTGGTGGTTGAGACAGTGTGCCGATAGGGTGAGAGTGTTGGGTCACAATTAAGAAAAACACCTCAAATATGTTGGAGTATCTTACTCAAAAACAGACAGTATTTCTTTCTTGAAACCAACCCCGAATCGCTATTTTAATATCTCATGTACCGCTTTATTGTGGTAAATATAATAAGTCTACCCAATTTCTGCAACTGATTTAAAATTTAGATAGGTCCTATATCTAGTCTATTGTCTAATGTATAAATAAATATCCACAAGCTAAGAATAAAAAAAAAAGAAAAAAAAACAAACAGATAAATAGATAGATAACCCCCCCCCCCCAAAAAAAAATAAATAAATAAAATAATAATAATAAAAATTACCCACAGGCCCCCTTCACACTGCCTTCACTATCACCACCACCACTAGCTGTAGCTGGACGTTTTACACTTTATACTATATATTATATACATGTAGGCCTACATATATACTTTTTAAATACTTTTTTAAAGAATCATGGTGAGGAAATCCACCTGAAGAAAAGGTTTCAAGCCTTAACCGCAAGGCAAAAACCATTTTGACTCTTTTTTTAAATAGTTGATAGCATCTTGACTTTATGGTATTCAGTTGGGCTTAAGAATGTTTCTCCGCCTTTAGGCTATTAGACGTTCACTGTTTTATTCTATAGAAAAAAATAGCTTGTATAAAAGGATGCTTTGGTCATTGTAGAAGCAAAGGCATGTCATTTCACATTATTCGAAAGACATTTTTATCAGTCATAATAAATGATATTTACCACTTCTAAGGTCTATGCTTCCATTCATTCAGTGTCCGTTTTTCTCGCCGATAGAGGTCACTGCGTACGCTCCCACTCGACCCACATTTCAGCAGCAGGTTGCATGAGTTCATTCATCGAGTGTTCTTTGCGTTTATCGTTAATCTGATACTCATAATTCAACAATAATGACTTGTGCGGGTAGCTGAGGTTGAAGTTAACATGGAGAAGTCCAAAGAAAATTTTCAGGTAGCTTCTGAAAATCAGGAAATACGATGCAGTCTACCGCCCCACAAGACGCCGGAGACAACTCGAAACAAAGAAGCTTCGAAAGATGTCAAAACTCCACAAAATACTGGACCAGGTCGTAAAAGAAGGGGACCTAATTGTTCTGACCCTATCCCATGTTTCAAGAAAGATAACATAGTTTACAAAAGAGGCGGTAAGTGGTTGAAGTAAGATTTTCCCAAATTTTTATGATTGAAAAAAAAAGCTCGTGCTGCGACCACTTCGCTTCCGCACTGGCCACTCTCAAAATGCTTGTGTCAGTTTCAAGTTTCACATGTCAGTTTCAGTCAGTGAAAACATCGTATAACTACTGATTTACTCCTTAGGGTTAAGACTTTGTCTTTAAAGTTTCAAAACAGCACATGTGCTCTTGAGTTTGAGGTGCATGTTTAACATTTTGAACTGTTAGGTTGATAGTTACAAGAAGAAAAGGTAATTTTATGGCTGAATGCACATTTAGTCATTGCCTATTATGTTGGCTGACATTGGGGTCAACCAGGTAAAATTAAACAGGATGCAGTCAGGAAATGTATTGGATGCTTTTAACTTGAGAGGCCTATGATTGTAATACTAGATTGTGGAATTTTAATTAATATGTCATCTGCTTTATGTAACTTTGTTCAGATTTGTATTTATATTAAGAAAGGGAAAATAAAAAAAAGAATAGAGCTGTTTTTACATCTGTGAAGGTCGGGTTACATTTACAATGTTTAAAAGGGGCTAATGTTTGTTCTTTATAGTCTTTCGAGTATGTAGGTTGTTATTGATGACTTTGTTGTTCTTTTAACTACATGTAGGGTTCATATGGTGTATTTGAAAATATATGTTAGTGTAACAATTAATTAATTTCAATTAAAAAAAAAATGAGCAGTTGGTTGACATATAACCAGGTCAAATCATACGGGGCCTTTGGGTATAAAAGAACTGCCCATTTTACTAGAAACAAAGTTTCACCTTCTGGTTACTTTGAATTTGAAATTTGCATTTAACCTTTAATTTCAATTATGTTAATTGCAAACATTTAAGAAAAAAAATCTACATTACGTAATAAAAACCAGAGTTAAAGGTTCTTTAATCCTCAGTTAAATGTAATGAGGAGTTAATACTTTCACCTTAAGACTTTTCCTAATTAAGTCTTGACCTCAAATATTCCCCAGGTGTTCACATTTATATAGAAATCTCTGCTGGCTTGTTAACAAGTACAGTTATCATTTCTCATGTATGTAGCTGTTAAAGGTAAACATTATCAACGTTGTGCACTGTATCTTACCCATTAATCTATATTTGCCCTTCCCTGAAAGCACAAACCAGCCATTTCTGTGTACAATGGACTTTAAAAAATGCAGGACTATTCTCGAATTTATATACATTTTGATTTATGGTTGAAGCAGTACGTCATGACTTATGTACAATCATTTACAAGAAAGCTAGAAAACTGGTAGATTAAAAACACATTACATGAGTTAACCTTTGACAATGCTCATTATGCAGTCTGATTTGAGTTGCTGATGTTATTTGAGATTAACAGCTTGAAACTTGAATCACTGATTCAGCTCACAGATAAACAGGTTTTAAGGCATGGGGGTGGGGGGGTGGGGAGGGAGGATTGATGAAAACGGATATAAAGTTCTGCAAAAAAAAAAAAAAAAAAAAAAATCACCCCCACCCACCCACCTGTTGAAATTGCTGTCTACAGGCCTGGATAGCAGTGTACAAATTTAATATCCACCCTCAAAATATTTTCCAGATGTTGAATTATCTTCTATCAAATGTTTTATTATGTCTCAGTTGTGTACATGTCTCATTCATATCAATCTTTTTATGTTCTGTTTAAACAATTTATCAGCTTTCCTATCTGTCTTATCATGAAATAGGGTGCTTACATTTTCTATCTGACAGAGCATTGGTATATATACAGACAAAGTTGTGATAACCCAAAACATTTTATCGCTGGGGTCACTCTTTGTTAGGGTGCCATTGAAGGATCCACCAAGCTGTTTTGCTCGCTTGATTTCGATGATATTTTGCAAATAAAGTCTATAGTTATGTATTTTACCCAAAGGCCAACTTGTTTTGCAAAGTGTCAAAAAAGTAATTGATTTGCAGTCAATCAAACAGGGTTTGTGAAAAATTATGGTGGGTGCTGCATTTAAATTTTTTTCAAGGGGATAGATATGATAGTATTTAATTGAAACGGTGATGTATAATACATTATAAGATTTTAACTGAAGAGAAGTAATTTAGTCAAAGTGACTTTTTGATAAGATCTTCAGGGTTATGCTGGGCCCCAGCTGTCTTTATTTCTTTCTTTCTTTATTTTTTGTCAAATACAGATGATGTTTTTCTTTGGCTAAAAAATGTTTACAAATGTTGTCAATCTTTCTTTAACAAAATATGCCAGACAGAGTGGAGATATAATGATAAATCTTGTAGGACGTGATCTTTCTCTCAGTTCAGATGTTCTGATTGTGCTGTTAGACAAAGATCTTACATGTACAGAATTTTGTCAGCTAACCACCAGGTGGATACAGTAACCACCTTTATGGTTTTCATATAGTGAATATGACATATAAGATTTCAAATGGGGTCTCAAAATGATTACCCTAGGTTCTAGATTCCAGTATTGCCAGCTCGATCTTGATTTCATATATAACCCATATCAACAATACTAGTAAAAGCGACCCCATCACAAGGTATATTTAACAAGCTAGCTTTTACGTTGCTCTGATACTCAGGGTAAAAATGATATCAGCCATTGATATTTGCATCAGTTTGAACTAGTTTATCTTGTTTATGCAAAGTTTATGGTTAAGAAGCTATTGGAGAAGCCATTCCTTAGCTTTTAAAGATTATCGTTTGTTCATATTATCTAATCTAGTGATTGAGTTATGAGCAAAGAAACAGGAGCTGGTACATGGCTTCCAGCGACCTTTAAATCTTCAAAACAAAAAGATAACCCTAAGTCAGCGCTTAGTGAAATAATTCTCCACAGGAGGTCTGATTTAGAAAATGAAACTCATTTCAATATTTGTGACATTTCGAAATTATATACAATTTAGGAAATAGAACTATCTGGTGAGAAACGTGTATAAATGTCAAGGGGGGGATATTAGTTTACTCAAGATTAAATAATGATTATAAAGGGTTATATAGTCATCTATACTCATTTGAATTATTACTTATTTTTAAAATTTAGTCTTTTTAAATTTGTCTCAGACTGCATACTAATTGCTGAAGTGCAGACACTCGTTAGTCGTAAACTGGCTTAGTTATAGTCTATCTTTTCGACTGGGTTTAATTGGTCATGTTAGTGGGCAAAATAACAGAAATAAAGGTACAGTGATGCAGCTGTGGTCCTTTATACTGAAAATAGTTATGAAATTTAAGAGCTGTCATAATCCCCATATTTCCTAGTACTTTATCAGATATTTGATTATTTTTGTATGAAATAAAGATGGCTGATACAGATAATATTTGTGTAAGATAAAAAATCCCCCGATTAATTTTTTGTTAATATAAATTTTATCTCTTCAGAATGTGTGTATGTGGATACCAACCGCCCAGAACAACCCTTCTCTGTTGGCATTGTAGAGGACATAAGATTGGTGAGTTTTGATTGGATTATTAACAATGTCAAGTTTCAGATCTAATAGAATAGGGTGTAATGGTTTCAGTGTGCAAATTGTGAGAGGATAAAGAAGATTTTATTATACCTGTGACTTGTAAATGTGTTTGGATGCACTGTTAGTAATGAATAAAGTGTCCAGTGGCACACAATACAAGCTTTTGACTTTTTATTTAAAATCATATTTTATTATTTTGTTAAGCATATTTTGGAATTGTTAAAGAGTAAATGATGAGACTTTAGTGTGATTTTAATTCTCATCCCAAAGACTTGATACCAAGTATTTGTGGTGAACAACAATCAAATGAAACACATGGTTTCATACACAGAGAGAGAGAGGGAGAGAGAGAGAGAGTGAGAGAGAGAGAGACACTGACTAAATCTGAAGGCTTGTGGCCACTGGAGATGGGTCTGCCTAACTTAGTTTAGCCTTTTTTTTCAGCAGGTTCTCTTGATAACAATTAATTCATCACAGGAAGCCAATCTGAATCTAATCTTTGTCGTCCTTACCATAGCCACCATATTTTTTTTTTACCAATGTCTTAATGGTTAGACCATCATGAGAAGCCAATCTAATTTTTGTGTTTACCTACCCACTACCACCATTATATTAATCTGTCTGAGATATCTAATTACGATTAGCTCACCATAGGAAAAATTTCTTATCTATGTCCTACTCACAGTCACCATAATGTTAAATCGTCTGATATTTCTTTATGATGAGCTGACCACTAGATGCCATTCTAATCACTAGGTTGTCCCACCCTCTGCTGTTGTTATTAATATATAAGTGGCACATGGCCATGACTTTTTGTGGTTAGCCATCACAATCAGACAACCTACTAGAAATGTGTTTGTTGATTGGTCACCAGACAACATTTTAATTTGCAAGTATTTTTTTTTTTTTTTTAATCTCACCGTTACATTTATGAAGTGGTTCAATAGTTGAACCTTACCTATTTGAATTTTTTGTGCAAAACCTGACAGCAATTTATGCATTTGCTCTTCTGGTGGTATTATTTGACCTATACTAAATTAATGTGTGTTTACTTTCCCTCTGAACACACACAAACAGTGTGAATAGCATGATCATGATATTTGATGAAAAAGTGTCTTTGTATCAGAATTGAACTATGGAACAATTCCAAGGGTAATTTAAGGTCTAAGTCATTGTGGTGAACATGCCAGATGAAATTTACTTTGTCTGATGAAAATGAACTATATTTGATGATTATCACCAGTTTATTGTGCATTTCATTGATAAGTTGATCTGAAACTAATAATGGGGCACTGAAGATCCCAGAGCATGGATAACAGATATAGAATGAAACACAAAAGGGAAATATCTAGTTATTATAATCAGGCAACAGTATACTTCTGAAGGTAATATGAATGTTTCTGCTAATCAGAGAATGTAAAAGTAGGCAAATATGTTTTGTAAGGATTCGAGTGTAGACTAGACCAGTTACATATCTCAATATATATATATACACACACACACACACACACACACACACACACACACACACACAGAGTAAGGCTGTTCACAGGTGTAGGCACCAATGAAGGATTTTGCAGTTTGAAAGGTTGTCAGAGGAAACATCTTGTGCATAAAATATTTTCACTTACTAGTATTTATGTCTCTTTTCTCTTTAAAATCTAGTTTAGGTACTTGAAAGAAAATGGTTAACCTCTCTCTTTCTCACTCTCTCTCTCAGGATTTTGATAAACAGGATATGATATTTTTGTAGGTAATAACTACATCATAAGATACTAGTTCATTATCTGAAAATATTTTGCCATTTATTTTTGTGCCCATGTAAGAATATAATTATAAGTAGTCAATCTCTCAAAGTGTACCAGTACAGAACAGATCAGATGAGTGCGCATACTGCTCGATATGAAAAGAACCTTTTAAAATAATTGTTCTGGGAATGCGGAACAGGATTCATCCATGTGAACGGCCCTCTCGTCAGGTATAATCTGTTGTAAGTACACAGGTAATTCAGTCACTTCATGGCTGAGCAAATGACCCGCTGAGCCTGTAATTTAATAGCACAGAGTTGTCCATTATGGCAGACATTAACAGATGTATTAGGTACAAAAATACAGCTGAGTGTATTGATCAGAACATGGTTTTAACTGGGAGGAAAGGAGTTAGGAAAAAAAAATGATTGAAGTGAAAGCATGTGATACTCTGACATTCGGTATAAAAGATAACATTATATATTGTAGTGGGATGGTGGGTTGGTGTAACACATCGCTAAAATAAAGCCAGAGGCTTAATGATTTAGCGATTAACTGGAAGTTTGCCATCTCACAGTCTGTTGTACAGTGAATAAATGTACTTAGTACTAGTGCAGTTCACAAGGCTGATACTTTATATCTCACTTGTTATGTCCTATATTATTGGAATAAAACTCATGAATTGATTGCTGAGCGAAGTGTACGTTTCAAATGTAATTTGTTTCTCAGAGTGCGAGAGTGTGAGCAAGTGCTTTGTGGTGTACCGTTTTGTGGTTTCATATATTGTATTCTGTCGTTTAATTATATAAGATACAGAAGGGTGAAAAAAAAAACAACTCTTGGAATGGATTTTAAAAGTGCCTAATGCTGAATTAGATTGTATTTATAACAGAATGCCATGCTGCAATCAATATCTTCACATATGCTGGTACACTTAAGTTGGGGACTGTTCACAATGAACATTATCCACCTAGGCTAGTTGCTACATATTAACTCTATGGGGACTCGTACTGAACGCAATCAGATTAGTCTAGATTGACACACCTCCTCTTGTTTCCAGCGTGTTCATGTAATCACCAGCTTTTCTGTATTTTACTCAACGCCAGGAGGGGGTGCATTAGTTTTAATCTGAATTTATTCAGCGAGATTCCCTTAGGAATTAGTGTGCAGTAGCTGGGCCAAAAAAATTCATTGTGAATAGTCCCTTTATTATGAGACTTGCCTGGGCTCACTCTCACAATATAAGTATAAGCCAAATGTTTAACTTGGCCTAATTTGACAAAATGAAATGGAAAATGTACATCTATTTTTGTCCAGGTCAGTCACTGTTTAGTCTGAAAGTGCGGATTGAGTGCATTTTTCTTTGAACATATAATGATCTTTGACTTAATAAATAAATGCTAAAACCACACTGGTTTGATTAATTCAAATTGTTTGCCAAATTTGCCATTCATCTAGTTCATTTGTAGGATTTTGCTACTACTATTATTATTTCAAATTTTTTTTCCATTTTTCTCTTGGAGTAAACCTTGTTTACAAACCCTAACACAGGTTTAATTAAAACTACTCTGTGGGTCTAAATGTCACCGTATTATAAGCAATAATAATCCTTTCAGCCACTTACTAGAAAATTATGAATTTAAATGCATTATTGGGTTCTCTTTAAGGCAAAATATCCTTCTGCTAGTTATCATACTATAGATATAATTTTAGTCAAATCGGCAATTTGAACTCAATCAAATAAAACCTTACAGTGATTTTGTTCTCTGAAACTGCCAAAGCCCAATAAGTATATTTTCAGCAATCTGAAGTTTATAAAAGGCAGCTTGCACTTGGTGTGAGATCTGTGTTAATGCCTGCAGTTGGCGTTGTACATTCTTTCTACATTGATGTGCCGTGACACATCCCCAGTGACATTTATAGGGAAGATAAAACTGCAGTATAAAGGCATTAAATGACATTAATGTTGTTGACCTGGTTAAGACAGTTTTTACTCTGGTATATTTTATGTTACACAAACTGCACCCTGAGGGCAGAGGTAAAAAAAAGATGGTAATCCTGACCGTATATGCTAACTAAATCCTAGATTTGACTAAAATTGGGATGTAACTTAGATAGCGATAGCAAAAAAGGAGACTTAAGAGCTTGATAAGTGTCAGAGAGTTTAATAAATAAAAATAAAAGGGTACCTGGATTAATAAATAAATGAAACTTGAAAAAGTTATGCATTAAGATTAATGAGGTTGGTACTGGAAGATATTGTTGTTCACCCTGGTAAGCTAAAGCATAATCTTGTGACTAAAAATTACTTCTGACTGTGTAAATTGGCCAAATTTAGACTAAAGAAATTGATCATTATTTTCCCATTTATTTACTAAAGGGATTTTAGGTGTCTCTAATGATATTTTGCTCACATTATGAGAAACCAGTGGCCTAGATAGAAAATATTCAAGAATTGGCCTCGTTAATTATTCCCGGAGGGGGGTAAGGATGTAAAACAGGCTATATCTTCTAGACACATTTCCCAAGGCTGAAGTCATGGTTCATTTCCTCACTTGTGCCGTCTTTCACCAAGAGTAAAGAGTTAGTAAAATAAATTTTTTTAAAAGAAACAACTGACGTATAATGCGAAACCACTATAGAATTTATTTAAAGGGCAGAGATGCATTTTACAAATAATCTCAGTCTTTTAATAGAGCCTTCATGAGCTTAAATTAGAAAAGATTCCTATAGTGTCAGTGAAATTACCATAATCAAGACAGGACTTAAAATGTGCTTCAAGAGTCACCTGGGGATAGGAAATTGAGTTTTCCCTATTTCCGATGAAAGAGAATAAATAGAAGTGATATTAAATATTTTTCCCCAACACTAATTTAATTGACATTGTTGAAAGAAAATCTAAAAACTTGATGCAAATAGATGATTATATGAGAGCCAAAAGATAATTGCTGCAAGCAAAAAAAAAAAAAAATTCTTACGTACAGGTGTGTTGCCAGAAGGAAACCGGGAATGAAAAAATTAACAGGCATGAAAGCATGTTTTATGTGCCAATGTGTGTGTGTGTGTGTGTGTGTGTGTGTGTGTGTGTGTGTGTACATATGTTTAGTGCTAGCATGCATGAGTAAAAGAGTTATTCAAGATTAGAATAGAACATTTTTTTCTCTAGTAACATTGTAATTTATAACACATCTAGGTTTTTGTTTTAGAAAGAATAGAATAGAATTTGTACTGTCTTCCCGTTTTAGAAACAACTCACCTCTTTATTTATATTTGAATTTGTGCAAAGCATTTTAAACCAAAGTCAGAATTGTCTTTTATCATTAACATTTAGGTGACCAATCCAAAATAATATCGATTTAGTTACAAACATTTATCAAGATATTTTTGCTCTTTTTATTTCCAGAGCAAACGGTCCACAGTTTTTGTTCAGGTTCGCTGGTATTATCGGCAATGTGAGGTTCCATACAGTGTGTACCAGCTTTTGGTACAGGACAGGCATACAGAGAACAGTAAGTGTATTGTTTATGTGACTATTGTTTATGTACTACTTTGGTACAGTGTCATCTCTGTATACCAGCTTTTGGTATAGTGTCGACTCTGCATACCAGCTTTTGGTACAGTGTCGACTCTGTATACCAGCTTTTGGTACAGTGTCGACTCTGCATACCAGCTTTTGGTAGTGTCTATATACCAGCTTTTGGTACAGTGTCTATATACCAGCTTTTGGTATAGGGTAGACATGCTTAGAATAACAAGTTTATCATTGATTTGTTTACATCTGTACATGGTCTCTTTGGTTTCATGTCTTTTTTCAGACTAAATACTAATTTTCCAAATCAAGCAGTGAAAATTCAATGATAAATTTCTACCAAATGAGGAAATATGATGAATGATTTCTTATTTGATTTCAAATTATGTCTAGCAAAGCGAACTTTTTTTATCCTTTTGCAAAAATTGGCAATGTCTGAATTGGGCTCATTTTATAGGAAGAGCAGTTCAAAATATTTCTGTCTATTGTCTTGTCTTGTATGCTTTGTTACAACCAACACAATCGGGGCACAACTCATCTGCTGCAATTGAGCTTTTCCAGTCTTCTCAACGCAGAAAATTGCTTTGTTTCAGAGATATAACTCAATAGATGCCCCAGGCTTTAACAAGCTGATTGGGATTTTTTTTTCTTTTTTTACCAAGTGTGAAGATGGCGAACTTTGGCTCAAGAAAAGTGAAAAGCCACTTTGTCACATATTTTGAATTTCAACAATGATTGATGAAATATGAGTAATTTGTTAACTCCCTAAATATGAATAAAAAATTTGGAATTTTGGATAACACATAAATGGTGATTATGAAAACCTAAGTTCATCTTCTGAGGTGGCAAAATCATCAAGCTGAAGTGACTGTTATCATAGATATCTGTTAGCAAGTCATCAATAGAAAACGAAGCAAATTAGTCATGAGAATTACAGATAATACTGGTAGTCATCCAGGGTTCACAATTCTGGTACTAGTATATGGATATCTCATGTAGACTAGCTGTGTTGAATATTTGATTGAAGTGTCCACGTGTAAACAACGGTATTGCTGGTTTCAGCATCGTGCTGCTGCGTGTGATGTTTCTCTTTCAGTATTGATCACTTTGTCTTCTCAGGAATATAGTGGTTCAATACCTAGGGTTGCCTTTAACCAGAGCCACACATTACTACATAGATAGTCTCGGTGCTTTGTTTACTGGTATTATGTTGGTTTCTGGTGGTTTGCTACATTTTAGTTCAGGGCACTTAAAATTTATGAGAGATTTTGTTCAAAATGTATGAAAATTCATGTAAGAAAATATTTATTTATATATTTTTAATAGTTACAGAATTTATTCAACTGAATAATGAGAATTTGTGAAGATTGATTAAGGGGATTAATTAGGTTCTTGGTATTTATTTTTACGCTCCAATCCCCTTCAAAATAAGAGAGAGAGAGCGCAAGTTAAGAAAATTGATTTTTTTTTTTGCCAATACATATTACACTCTCCTTAGAATAAGGCAAACTTTTTATACGTACCTGAAGTTGATATTTTATGAGGACAGATTGAGTATCTGTAACAGGTATTATACAGGTGCCAAAAAGTGTGTATTGGGTATCTCTGTAGGAGGTAAATTCCTTGACCTCCAAGGCCTTTTACCTGCTTAGTTAAGATGTTTTGGGGGCTGTTGGTAATCGTAATATCATACAAACCTGCCATTAATAGGAATAAATTGTATTGAGATAGAAAGAATTGGTTTGGGGTAGGGAGCAAGGAATCCCTTTTTATTGCCTCAGTAGTGAAATAGTTACAATTTTTTTTTCCAGAGTGATCGACCTATTAAGAAGTTGTGACTGATCTGCTATCTACAGTTGCTGTTGTTTTGGGAGAAGGGGAAGGGACAAGCACAGCAATTTTATTGTTTTAACAAAACTTGAGTCTTTCCAAGCTCGTAAGCTAGAGTGAATTATAGGTTGGTTGTGTGAGAAGAATGGCCATTAGTGTTATGGACATAGCCTAATTGCGGCCTGCTTGGATAAGTTGCGTGAGGAACGGCTGTTAAGCATGGCCAACTCTATAATTACCATAATAATATACATACTGGGGGTTACAAAGGGAGTAGTTCACAATATGCATGATTTAGTTGTCGTGCTCCTTGGGTAAGACCATCATTCACTCTTGAACAAGTTCACACAACCATAGTTGAAATTGTCCTGAACTGGCTAAGAATGGCCCTGATCGGGGTCAGATTGGTCCTTATCTGCTTTAGAATGGCCCTGATGTGGATTAGCTTAGCCTTGGTCTGCTTTAGAATGATCTGGCTTAAAATGGCCCTGATGTGGTTTAGCATGACCCTTATCTGGTTTTGGTTGTCTACCAATAAAATCCAGATTAATTTGTTGATATTCTTATGGGATGAGCTGATTGAATTTTATCACCATTGGACCACAGTACTTTCCAAGCAATCAACTAACTGTTTATAATCAGCTGTTGCAGAGAATGCAGTAAAGTTGCTGAGAAAAAATGCCATCAGGAGAGTCGAGCAAGTCACTTTTAAATCATATACACGAACCAAATTGCCAATTTAAACATCAAACCATATTACTATACATAGAAATTTGAGAAACAAATCAGTTAAATGGCTCTTCTTGAGATGAATGTAAATTATCTCGGGGATTAATTTTTCAAATGACCTTAATTTACTGCCACATCAGCATACAGTGATGATATTTCATTAATTCAAAAATGGCCTGTAATGAACATAAATTAAAGCACATATAAGACTGCATTCCCACAGATTTAGATCGATCCATCTGGATCAACCTAACTCCCTGGGGGTTCACGCTAAATTGCTGTCAGCCGAGCATGCACGAAGTTAATTATCCCCTTACAGCTTTTAGTAGGCGGGACAGACATTTAGGCTAGCTAGGCTGACAGTGATCTAGTGAGACTCCCCACAAGATAGATCGTCTAAAATCTGTGGGAATGCAGTCTAAGTGCCGCCTAGAATGTCACGGTTGTTGGTTAAAGTCATCATTACTTACTGCCTGTCCATCATGGTATTTAAATTATGCCATTTGCTTTGTTCCCTTTGATTTATGATCACGATAAACATATTATCCTTTTTAAGGGGCCAAGTGTAGTGGTTTACATGACTGCCTGTTAAAACTGATACGGAAATTCCTGTTAAAATTTGAGCAGAGCCCCTTGATTAACCTCTAAGACACTGACGTTAGTTGTCCTTGAAAATTATGATTTGGAAATTAAGAAAGTAATGATGTTTATGTCAGAAAAGGTGATTTTGTGAATGATAGAATGAGATAGACATTCACAAAAATGTTAAGGCATAGAAAAGGTGGTGGAAACTTGTGGTAATTTGCCATACTGGTTGAGCTAGACCTTTTTTAGAACTCACTGAAGTGAGATTTATATTTTTGTCTACAGCAGCTGTACAGGGGCTACTACCATCATTATTGTTGTCACCACAAGAAAGACATATTGTGTTAAACCATTATTTTAGGGGGAGGGGCTGAATACAGACAGGATTTTGCAGGGATGAAATTTTTCGAAGTATGGGTGAATTTCTGACTTTTTGGGAGTCAAAGATGTCCTTGGCCAAGGTGACCCCCTGGACCCCATGCCATATTTATCAAGCTTTTCACTAAATGATGGCCTTATCCCTGATTTGATTAAGTAATGTAAATTGATAATTATAATGATTAATAATGATTAAGTGAAAACCATGAAGATTAAAGGGATAATAACTCTTCGTATGAAATCTATATTTCACAATAAAAACATTGTGAATAACTCATAGAAATATAATGTATTCTGTTTTACCACAAAAACAGCAGTTATAGCTTTTATTTTGATATCTGAGCTTTTCTTTAGACCATGTGACCTCCACTGATGGCTATACTCTGCTAAAATCTCTTAAGAGATTTTAACAAAAAAACAAACTTTTTAGAAAAAAACCAGGGACTAACTTTGAATGTAAAAATGGATTCATTAACCATTGGTAAGTATGGGAAAATTGTTGTTTACTCCAGGAAAATTCATTTTTTGGCCGAATCGAAGAGTTATTATCCCTTTAAGATAAATGCATTATTGGATTATGATTTTGTGAAAGGAGGAAGTCAAAGGCGTGTCTGTATCATGCAGAAAAATATGCATTTAAATGATTTACCGTATTTTTATAAAAAGGATTTTTCAATCATTTTGAAATATATTTTAGTGAACTAAAACCCTGCAGGAGACTAGCAAGAGAAGGCTTTTTAACCTGATACAAGAGTCAGGTTAAAATGTACATACAAATATATGTATGTGTAATACATGGTAAGATAGAGGCACAGGTTCCAAGAACCATCAACTAGATTACTTAGGTACTTGAACAGAATTTTGTTAACTGTGTGTTGCAGGTAATTTTTTTCCTTGGTCGGGAGAGAGGCAGCGATCAGTGCATTTGAATTTATGTCATGCAAATGCAAGTCATGGGAACTGCATATATTCTAGCTAACAAAAGGATAATGCCTGAAGACGAAAGAAATCATGAAAAAAATGAGAAAAAAATATTCCCAGAAAAAAATAGTTTGCCTTTACATCCCAGGTGATTACGTGCCAATTTTACCTAGTTGCAGCAATTGATTCGCCATTATTTCCTTTTTGATGTTGTTTCTTCCAATTAGCTTTTGTTAAAGTTGAATTAATTGGACACAATAGGTTCTGCAGGTGTGCTCGTGGGGTTTGTCTACAAATTGCCTTCTTTTACCTAATTTATTTGAATATGAAATATAGGGTGTGCTTTCAACTATATGGTAGGACTCCCAGCTTGTAGCCAGCAAATTTCAAGGGGAGCGGGGGGGTTCTAAAAAAGTGACCCTACTTGTATCTCTATTAACTTTTTACCCAGAGCGCACCTTTTTTCCATCAAAAGATTTCAATAATATTGCTATGCGCTGCTTAGCAGTCATTTAGTCTGACCTTTGACCATATCCC